GGCTGAGGATTCGAACCCGCCACCTTAGGTGTACGTGGCTGGCGCCTTAGCTGGTTGAGCTATAGGCACCGAGCCTATTGTACACACTATTAACAATAGAACTCTTTGTTTTCAAGAGTATGTTGATTCAGCCAGCTGAAAAATATATAGTCCTTCCTTGTTTGTAGGGGATTGATTCCCGGACCCTCACCGTTACCCAGATCTGAAGATACTCAAGTCCGTGTATAAAATGATGTGCTATCTGCATACAACCTACACATCCTTCTGCACACTTTATTTAAATCATCTCTAGATTACTTATACCTAATAAATCTCTAGTAATCTCTAGATTGCTTATGCCTAATACAGGGTAAATGCTATGTAAATAGTTGTTATATTTTTTATTTGTACTTTTTTTTTCTGAATGTTTTTTTCCCCTAATCTTCTTCTTCTCTCTTTTCCATGTCTTTCTCTTCTGAGTCAGAGTCTCACTTTGTCATCACAGCTCACAGCAACCTCAAACTCTAGGGCTCAAGCGATCCTCCAGCCTTAGGCTCCTGAGTAACTGGGACTACAGGTGCCCACTACCACACCCAAGTAATTTTTCTGTTTTTTGCAGAGACAGGGTCTTGCTCTTGCTCAGGGTGGTCCTGAGCTCCTCACGTCGAGGGATTCTCCTGCCTTAGCCCTCCAGAGTGCTGGGATTATAGGTGGGAGCTCCGGTGCCCAGCCCCCAGATATTTCCATCCACAGTTGGATAAAGCTGTAGCCGTGAACCCACAGATACAGGGGCCCACTGTATTGCGATCCTGTGGGATCTCTCATCTCCCTTCATTCTAGATTAATTCTGTAAAATAATGTAAATTGAATAACTTAATCTCTTTTTTGACATTTGGAATAGCTAATGAAGCACAACATACTTTACATACAACGTTTCAACATTTGTTAAAATGTTTTATTTTATTTCTACCTTGTTTTAGGTTTGGCTGGGATGTTCCAGTAATTCTGAGAAATTCAGAAGAGACCCAGTTCAGCTCAAGAGTGTTCAAAAAGCAAATGAGACAAGTCAAGAATCCTTTCGGCTTAGAGATCACCAATCCATCCTCAGCTTCAATCACGGGTTAGCGACTCTTCTCTAAAATTTTTCTCTCATTGTAGACTCTCTTTTTAGCCCTTTGGTTTTCTTTCCCTAGTATCTGACCTTCCTTAGACTTCTAACAGACATTTATCTAAGAGACATTTATGGAGCATTTGTTTCGTTCCAGGGACTTGACTTTACCGACCTTACCGCTGAGGAGCTCCTCGTCTGGCAGACAGGGCAGTGGAGTCTCGCGGTGTTCACGGGAGATGTCTGTGCAGACTGTGCCCTTCCCAATGGGCGTCAGTGAGGGAGGAGTGATGAGTTATGTCTGAATACAGTTAGTGTAGGGTTTCTAGCCTTTGGAAGGACAACTATCTTTTAATCTGAAATTATAGTATTTTGGTATAAATTATTTTGATATAAAATGGTATTTTCTTAGATGTAATAATAAGCAGCAGCTGTTTGTTTCTGTACTTAGAAAAATAAATTGTCTGCTGAACTATTTAGCAACCATTTGAGTAAATTATAAAGATAGAAATGGTTAAATTCATTAAGGTCAAGAGGCATATTCAGAGCAGGCTTTCTATGAAAGGGTACGATGAGTCGCTCTAATTTTTTTCTTTTTTTTTTTTTTATGTAAGTAGAGTCTTAAAAAATAAATATCTGTTTACCTCTTGGATTTGGAGGAAATTCTAGCTCAGGGGAGAAGCACTGAAATGGGTGAGCAACAGAATCAAACATTAGAGAAACAGTAAGTGGTTTGTTATGGAGGAGACACAGGGTGGGGCAGGTAGGAGAGAAGCACTGGGAGGACGCAGGTCCTATGTGGGTCCTCGCTGGACACGTCCCGTCACCACACCAAAGGGTGCAGGAGAAACAGCAGGTTGGGGGAAAAGGCAGCTATCTTTTTCTTTCTTTTTTTTTTTTCCTTTCCTGTCTACCTTGAACTTGTTTTTCCTGCCTCATGTTGTATGGGTCTGTAGAGAAAGATGTGTGCCTTCATATATTTGTGTGTGTGTGTGTATTAATGGGGTGTTTTTCTTCAGCAATTTAAGAGCTAATAGAACTTTCCATCCTTAAATTAATACTTGATGTTTGGAGTCATACAAATTTGAAATCAGATTTTGCTTTGATTACCTATGCAGAGTTTCTATCATTAAAACATTTTATTATGTGTAATTAGAAGTTGCTCTGTGTCACTGCTCAGAATCTGAGACTCTGTGTGGATTCTACTAAATACTGAGAAGAAAACCAAAAACTCAGCAGATTTTTGGGACCTTGTGGAACATCTGCTTGTATTTGTATGTAGTACGAATCCTTCCAACATGTACTCTTGACCACAGTTTAAAAAATAATTTTTTTTTGAGACAGAGGCTCACTTTGTCATGCTTGGTAGATGCTGTGGCATCATAGCTCCCAGCAACTTCCAACTCTTGGGCTCAAGTGATCCTCTTGTCTCAGCCTCCCAAGCAGCTGAGACTACAGGCACCTACCACAATGCCTGGCTATTTTTCTTTTTTTAGAGATGAGGTCCTGCTCTGGCTCAGGCTGGTCTCCAACCTGTGAGCTCAGGCATTCCACCTGCCTTGGCCTCCCAGGGTGCTGAGCCACGCCACCCAGCCTTTATTTTTTTTTTTTTTTTGAGACAGAGCCTCAAGCTGTCCCCCTGGGCAGAGTGCCGTGGCATTACAGCTCACAGCAACCTCCAACTCCTGGGCTCAAGCGAGTCTCCTGCCTCCGCCTCCCAAGTAGCTGGGACCACAGGCGTCCGCCACAACGCCCGGCTATTTTTTGGTTGCAGCCGTCATTGTTGTTTGGCGGGTCCGGGCTGGGGATTTGAACCCGCCACCTTAGGTGTACGTGGCTGGCGCCTTAGCCGGTTGAGCTATAGGCACCGAGCCCCCCCCCACCCAGCCTTTAATCAGAATTCTTATTAGCAAACAACAGAAGCAACTTCAATAAAAGAATATTGGGTAGCTTACAGAGTTGCTGTTAGGTTTGGGAAGCCAGAATCAGAGAACAAACCTGTGCAGCCGGGAGCAGTGACCCCAACCTGCCCTCTGGTCTGCTCGGTGCGGCAGTGCCGGGGAGTGCTGAATGCCACAGTTTACATCGCAGCACTGTGAGACTGGCTGTCGACATCCTGCACATGATGCGACTACATGTCCCGCTACGAAGGAAAAGTTCACACAGGTGGCACGTAGTAAGTCCTATGTAAGTGTTAAATACATAGATAAACCATATAATTTTTAAGGAGCTGTGTGCAGGGGCTCATACCTGTAATCTCAGCACTCTGGGAGGTCAAGGCAGGCAGATCTTTCTGAGCTCAGGATTTCGAGACTAGCCTGAGCAAGAGCAAGATCCCATCTCTACTGAAAATAGAAAAAAGTTAGCTGGGTCTTGCAGGAAAAATTACAGGGCACCTGTAGTTGCAGCCACTTGGGAGGCTGAGGCAGGAGGATCATTTGAACCCAGGAGTTTGAGGTTGCTGTGAGCTAAGCTGACACCAGCGCACTCCATCCTGAGCAACAGAAAGAGTGGACTCTATCTTAAAATAATGCAAAAGAAAACAAAAATGACTATGTAATTTTTATGGCTACTCATAATTTGTCAATCCATTTAATCAGAGCTATTCAAATTGTGATATGTTGAAAGCAAAGGAGTGAATGAAAATGTTATTATTGAGCCCTTCATGAATGAAGATGATGTTATGGAGCCCATCTTGAATGAAGATGATGTTATGGAGCCCTTCGTGAATGAAGATGATGTTATGGAGCCCTTCGTGAATGAAGAT